TTAGGGTTCAGGGTTTAGGATTTTTTTTGTTGTGTTGCTCTGTTCTGTTCTCTCTTTCTGTCTTTCTTGTTTTCCCAAGATTAAAACCCGACCCTACACCCTAAACCTCACAACCCTAAACCTAAACATAGCACGTGCCCTAAACCCTAAATCCTAAACCCTAAACATGGCACTTAAACCCTAAACCGTACAACCCTGGACCCTGAACGTAGCACTTAAACCCCAAACCGCACAACCCTAGAAAACCCTAAACCGCACAACCCTAAACCCTAAACATAGCACTTAGACCCTAAACCCTAAGCCTTAAGACCTAAACATAGCACTTAAACCCTAAACCTTGTTCCCTAAACCCAAAGCATAGCACTTAAACCCTAAACCCTAAATCAATCCTAAACATAGCACCTAAACCCTAAACCCTAAGCCTTACAACCCTAAACCAAAAAGATAACACGTTCGTGGGAAGCTGGGCCCCCCGACCGCGACCCGAAGAAAGCCTCATCTGTAAAGTCATGTGGGTGGTTGTCAAAATTATGGTCCCTTTTTGGGTCCTTATTAGAATACGGCACCTATTTTTTAGGGTACCCCAAAAGGGACCATAATTTTGACAACTACCCATCTGTAAAGTCATGTCCTGCGCCAATGGGGGTTTAGGGCTCAGGGCTTGGGGTTTAGGGGTTTAGAGTTTAGGGCTTAGGGTTTAGGGTTTAGGGGTTTAGGTTTTAGGGATTTAGGGTTTAGGGCTTCGGGTTTATTGTTTAGGGTTTAGGGGTTTCGGGTGTAGGGTTCAGGGCATAATTAGGCCCTTGGGTTTGGGGCTTAGGTTATTAGGGTTGAGGGCTTAGGGCGAACATCCCGGAACCCGAGAAAGCTGCACAGGAAACATAAAGCACTTCAATCAAGGGGTTTAGGGTTTAGCGGCTTACGGTTTAGGGTTTAGGCAAAACCTGTAGTGTCCTTTCTGTAGTTTTTTGGGTTGAGCTTATTTTATATTCTGGATCCTAAGAGTAAACCGCAAAAAGGGACTACAATGAGACTATAGGTATCCTGCAACTACCCAGGCCAACAATCAGATGCCTAGGTTTCGGATTGTAGGTATGTAGCTTACTATCCTAAACCCTAAACCCTAAACCCTAAACCCTAAACCCTAAACCAAGAGTATATGATTATTAGGTACTTGGACCTTCAAGGTTTACGGAACCCTTGCAAAAGAACCATGAAGGCCCCTGCATTTCAGATTGTGCTGGACCTCCCTTGCTTCTCTTTCCTAAAGGTCCAAGTTCTCGGACAGCAGGCTGTTGTAGGTTGAGGGTTTAGGGGTTTAGGGTTTAGGGGTTTAGGGTTTAGGGGTTTGGGGGTTTGGGCTTTTTTGGGTGTAGGGTTGCGGGGTTTGGGGTTTTGGGTTTCCGGTGCCCAAAACGATTTGTTTTGTTCCACGTAGGGGCCTCAAACCTGGCGGGCTACTTGGTCGCCAAACCATATACATCCCCACATTTACGAACCCTAAACTCTGGGACATGCGCAGGTGGGTAGTTACCGTTATAGGAGCGTTATAGAAGGTCTCTATATATATATATATATACATATATATGTATATACCTTATCGAAGCCTTGTAGAAGCCCTATATACCCTAAACTCCCCAACTGTAGTTTCCTTTAACCTAAGCCTTCGACCGTAAGAAGAAGTCAAGTTCGTAATGAGCTTCCGAGGATTCCGGTGTTCAGCGTGGCCGGTTGCCTGGACGCTCTTTTAGAGTTGAGGGCTTGGGGTTTAGGGATTACGGGTTCAGGGTTTAGGGGTTTTGAGTTCTGGGGTTTAGGGCTTGGGGTTTAGGGCTTAGGGCTTGAGGTTTAGGGCTCAAGGTCTATAGGGCTTGGGACACCTTCAGAGATTGTGAGCATGTTCGAACAAAAGACGGCCTTTGTGGTTAAGCTTGTTCGTTGTTTCTACCCAGACCACCGGAAGGATTTAAAAACTAGATCCTATAAGGGGGTTCCTTTAAAGTACCCTGTAGTATAGGGCCCCCAAATTAGGACCTTTCCTTCCGGTGGTCTGGGAATGGAGCACTATGGAGGGCTAGGGTTTAGGGTTTTTGGGCCCTTCAGGGTTTAGGGTTTTGAAAACAGGTTCCTTTTGTGGCCCTCCGGGGCATTTCAGCTTTCGTGGCGGAGCAGACCGCAGTCTGCCCTGCAGGTGTGGAATTACTTTTGGGGCCCTTCAAGGTTTAGGGTCCTACATTTCTGGGATAGAACCCTAAAGGGAGGCTAACACCGACACCCTGCCCATGGGCCCTAAAGTAGTTCCTTGTTGGGGTTCAAAAATAGAATCCTATAAGGTAATCCCAAAAAGGAACTACTATGGGCCTATGGGTAAACACTAGTCTGGCAGAACCGACAGACCCTGCGTAAGCCCAGAACCCCAAACCCATAAACCCGCAGTCCAGATAAAAGCCCGGTTCCTTATTGTAGTTAGTATAGTATTATAGTCATTGTAGTTATTATAGCTATTATAATAGTTTTATAGTCCCTGCGATGAGGCTACATCTTCCCTTTGATTTTCTTACTCATCGACAAGACGGACGAGTTTCAGCTGCTGTTCTTCATCGTCCAGGCAGGGGTTTAAGGGTTTAGGGCTTATAGGGTTTATGTCTGAGGGTAGGGGGATAATCTGCTGTGGTATGGGTAGCTGCCTAAATTGGGGTCCACTTTAGTTTTTTTTTGTATCGGGTACTGTCCCATGTCCTTGAAGCACGGTCTTGAATGTCCGTCGTCGGCAAGTAGAAGGCGGAGGCACAGAGATCTTGAGCTCTTCTTTCGCACAACGGACTTACTTTCGTCGTTATCGGGCACTGTGCCCTATATTGGACGTAAACCCCGAAACCCTAAGCCCTAAGCCCTAAGCCCTAAACCCAACCTTTTTCGGCCGAAAGCACCACTTGCCACCTCCAAGCCCTCCAACCCCAATCTCTCAGCCCCCCGTCCTAAACCTTAACACCGAAACATAGAAGCCTGAACATTACGTAAGTACGCATCCTTTGGGTTTCTTATTATATCTCTTCTATATTCCACCCCCCCCCCTTGCCACAAAAAAAAAACTAGTCTGATTGTTAAGGCCCCTATATACCATCCCACACCATTCCTCCCAAGGACCCGAGCCCAACCCTTAGATAGCCTCAACCTTTTTGGCCTTACATATTTGGTCTTGGATTCAGTCTTTTGCCGGTTATGATTTGCCTGGTCTATCTTAGAAAGCTTGATCTGTTTGATCCCGGTTACCCTAACCCCTAAACCCCTGAACCCCTAAAACCTAAACCCCGGTTATCGAAGAATAGAGTGCTCGGCACCCTGAAGTTTGATGCCTTCCTTGGACCCTGGACCTTTCATGTCTCTTCAAAGGGTTTGGGGTTTAGGGTAAGTTTAGTTTTTAGGGTTTAGGGTGGGTTCATGGGTTTAGGGACATTGAGGGTATCAGGACTTTAACCATAGATCAAAGTACTATAGAGCCCCATAACCTCTAGGGTTAACCCATCCCTGTAGGCTCCACTGTAGTCCCTTTTTGGTTTAGGGTTTAGGGCTTAGTCGTCATAGAAATGTCGTCGATAACCCAAAGTGGAACTACGATGAGGCTGTGACTCTAGGTAGTTTTCCCAGAAGCTGGACCCTGAACCCGGCAACCTACACCCAAAATCCTAGGCCCTAAACCCTACGCCCTAAAACCCTGAACCCTGAACACTAAACCCTAAGGCCTAAACCCCTAAACCCTAGGCCCTAAAACCCTAAACCCTAAAGCCCTAAACCCCAAACCCTGACCAGGTCAAAGGAATTCAGTTCCTCTCCCAGGGCATTCTGACGCCCGTTATGCATGCAAGGGGGTCAAGGTGCAAGATGCAGTTTATTGGGTTTCGGGGGATTTAGGGTGCAGGATGCAGTTTACAAGGGGTTTAGGGATTTAGGGTTCGGAGGTTTAGGCTGCAGGGTTTTAGGGATTTAGGGTGTAGGATGCAGTCTACAAGGGTTTAGGAATTTAGGGTTCGGGGGTTTAGGCGTCAGGGGTTTAGGGCTCAGGGGGTTTAGGGCTTATGGGGTTTAGGGGTTTATGGGGTTTAGGGGTTTAGGATTTAGGGTTTAGGGGTTTAGGGTTTAAGGGTTTAGGGTTTAGGGTTTCCAGGGTTTAGGCCTAGTAGGCTTTAGGGTTCTCTTAGGGTTTTTCCATGGGTTATGAACTCCGCAACTAAGTTCCAGAATTTTCGGCCAGCCCGAACAGGTTGGATGAGTAGAGGGTTTAGGGTTTAGGGTTTAGGGTTTAGGGTTTCTGTACTCACCCTCCGGGACTGAATATGTCGCATGGCCAACTGTTGCCGGCGCATGTCCTGAAGTGTAGATGCTCTTAATTTCCATATTATTCTGCGCTGCCGAAAACGAAGTTCCCCCAAGCCCCCCTCACTGCTACTTCACATGTGCGAAGGTCTCTGGAACCCAATTTCGAGGGGCTTCGGTAGACCAGAAGCCCGAAAACTTGAGTTGCAGAGCCCAAACCAATGCTGTGAATCTTAAGCCCCCTAAACCCTAAACCCTAAACCTACAACCCCCTACAGTTTGTAAAGCCCAGGGCGTTAATGTTGTGAATCTTAAGCCCCCTAAACCCTAAACCCTAACCCCTAAGCCCTAAACCCTAAACCCTAAACCCCTAAACCCACAACCCCCCCTACAGTTTGTAATGCCCAGGGGCATTTATGTTGTGAATCTTAAGCCCCCTAAACCCTAAACCCTAAACCCTAAGCCTACAACCCCCTACAGTTTGAAAAGCCCAGGGGCGTTTATGTCAGCTTCTTTGAGTTCATTGCCTGCAGCCTTTCCGTCGAAGTGGCCTGCCGGGAGCCGCCTGGGCTGGGGAAGTTTAGGGTTTAGGGTTTAGGGGTTTAGGATTTAGGGGTTTAGGATTTAGGGGTTTAGGGGTTAGGAGTTAGGGTTTAGAGTTTAGGATGTAGGGGTTTAGGGTTTAGGGGTTTAGGGTTTAGGGTTCTGATTGGCAATAGGAATAGGGTTGCTTGTTATCTGGGATCGGATCTTTGAGAAAAGGGATCCTGGTCCATTTTCTTCAGCCTAAAGTGGTCTTGTACCGTAGGGGTTGGAAGGGTTTGTCAAACTATCTATCCCTGGCACAGTCGTTATCTTTAACTACGCTATACTCCCCAAATACTCCCCAAACCTTCATTCCAATCATTAAGGCCGCTATATTGCAGCATCGGAGCAGGTTTCAAAAAATCAAAGTAAAACAAGTAACCCCTGCCTGGCGGCTTTTGGAAACAGAACAGTTTAAGTAGGGTTTAGGTTTTAGGGATAGGATTCAGGACGTAGGACCGGGTTTAGAGTTTTTTTGCTTCAGGGGCAGTTTCGGATTTAGGGTTCAAGGTTTGGGGTTTGGGGTTTATGGTTTAACGCGCTCACAATTTAGGGTTTAGGGTGGTCTTGCCAGCTTTTTCGTCTAACAGTGGTCTTACCCGCTCTCCTTGAGCCTGAGCCTAAACCCTAACTCCGAACCCTAAACCTAAATTTAGGATTTAGGGTTTTGGGGTTTAGGGTAGGGTTTAGGGTTTGAGGCCATAAGACCTCGCAGGACATCGACCTTTACGAGTGAGGGAAGAGCCAAGCAGGCCAGTGGTGTGTCCGGGTCAACTTACACCGCGGCTGGAGCATCGACTTGGACGAGAAGAACGCGCAGACGGTAGCCAAATCTAGGCTGTCGGGTTCTACGCTCAGCTGGAGCAAGCAAAATGCCAAGAACCGGGGGAGCAGCAAGGAGAAGCTCTTGAAGGGGCTGTGGTACCGCAACAGTGAGACGGTTCCGGAGCTCAGCCGCGCTCTGGAAAATTTGAAAGCTTTAGGCGGCGGATGGACTCGCTGTTCTTTGTTATTGTTGGCTGCTGGAAAGATCGGAGATGATCTGCAGCCCCCAAAGTGGTTCTTGCAGGGCGCAACTTATGAAAGCAGAACCTTGCACCGTGCTGATTTATGTTTCTGTAGAGTTGTGAATCGACATTTTATCGTCTGTGCCTAAATGGGTTAAGTGGACTTGGAGCTACTGTAGCAGCTTTAACTCAGCTAATTACGAGAAACCATTTTAGAGGGTTTACAACGCCTTAGCGTGGGTTGACGATCTCCCGTGTGACTGTAGATGCAAAACTCGCTCTAGCAAGAGCAACCGCTTACGTTTGAAGCACCACCGACGTGGTTTGAACGAGTTGCTGAGTTGACTTCCACAACACAGAGCTACTCCCATCAACTGGTCTAATCGTTTCCTCATCAAAGAGAGCGAGCCACCCAGTAACCCCTAAGCCCTAAACCCCATAAGCCCTAAACCCTAAACCCTAAACCCTGAACCCTAAACCCTAAACCCTAAACCCCATAAGCCCTAAACACCAGGGAGTTCTGCTGGAGTGTAGGGTTCCGTTTACAGCGCAATATCCCTGCAAGTGACTACAACCCAAAGGGTCCAAGTACTAGTATAGCCCTAAACCCTAAACCCTAAACCCTAAACCCTAAACCCTAAGCCCTAAACCCTAAACCCTAAACCGTTGGGGCCCAAAGACCTACTAAGTACCTACTATAATGGTACTTGGACCCTTTGGGCAAGGAAGACCCCGAACCTTCGCCTCAAACCCCCTACCGCCCTTACCCCCCCCAGCCCCATGCACCAAATTGAGCAACTTCCTGCGGCATAGGAGGTACGTAGCCCTAAACCCTAAACCCAGCCGCCCAAGCCCTGTCTTGAAATCTCGGATTGGTTTGGGGCTTGGGGTTTTAGGGTTTAGGGTTTATTGGTTTAGAGCTTTGGGTTTTAACTTTAGGGGGTTCAGGGCTTTAAGGGTTTAGGGTTTGGGGGTTTAGGGTTTCAGGGTTCAGGGTTTGGGGTTTCGGGTTTAGGGTTTGGGGTGTAGGGTTTGGGGTTGGGTGTATGGCTTAGCGGGGAGTGTACGTACCTCTAGTCGAAAAGACGTTCTTAGGGGTTCCCCAGTATGGTTTCTATATATAGTGCCTGAGAGAGGTAGGTCTTTTGTGCCACAGTTAGGATTTAGAGGTCTAGCATTTACTGGGCTTAGGGTTTGCGGCTCAGGGTTTAGAGTTTAGGGTTTAGGGTGTGCAGCAGTAGCAGTAGTAGAAGTAGCAGAAGTAGT